GACTTGTCATCAACCAGAACACCCAGGTCCCTTTCTGTAGGGCTGCCCTCTGGCCTCTTATCCCCCAGTCTGTACATACAGCCAGGGTTGCTTTGTCTTTGGTGCAGAATCCATCACTTGCTCTTGTTAAACTTCATATTACTGGTGATTGCCAAACCCTGTTGTCTGTCAAGATCTCTCTGCAAGGCCTCTCTACTCTTGAGGGAGTCAACAGCTCCTCCCAGTTTAGCACTGGTCCAGCACTAAAGCAGAGCAGAACTAGTAGGCAGAAGCGTGACTCACTAGTGAACGCAGCGGGACAGCTTGTCAGCACTGCTGCTGGCTCTAGCCAACATTATAAAACTCCAATTTTGATAACTATCAAGAAGTGGATTTACAAAACCTGCTAAAAGCCAGGCTTACATGATGGATCCAGGAGATCCTCCAAGTCCCTAGGGATGGCTGCACACCTCAACTGTGCCCTGATCAATATACATCAGTATATCTCTGAGACCGACCTCCCTCCCTGATTTAGTTAGTTTCTATTAGGATTGAATCCTGGTGCCTGAACAGAAGATTATGGCAGGCCCTGGAAGCCCAATATCTCCAACCCTTGATTACTTCACAATGATCCATAAATAAATTCAGTATGAATGCTATCAGCACATTTTCCTCATTAGAATCCAACAAAAGTTTAAGAAAGCAATTGTTTTAGTAAAAGAACAAATGAGGGAGCTACAGGATTGGATTATGCCTGTAAAGAGAAAAATCTTCAACTTCAGTGTTTAATTTGCACATGAGTACAAGTTGTACAGCTACAGAGGAGCCCAAAGCCCAAACTACTAACACCAAATCCCCAAATATGTAAAAAGCAAGACTAGTCATTGATCAGGGAACAAAAGTCTGAGTACAAAGGAAGAGGCTGTTATTGAACTCAACAGGCATGGATCAAGGCTGGCCATGTGTGGAAGGATACGCTGGGTTTTGTAATGGGATGGCCATGCTCCCCTCATGCAATCTGGTGCACACATGCTGCACTTCAGGGCCAAGGAGGAAGGGAAGAAGTCAGAGCCATCTTAGACCACACACGAGATTCATGTCTCAGAGCTGCATCTGACAGTTGCTGACAGTATGTATGAGCCGTCACAAAAAAACAGCAAGGCATCTGCCTCTCATTGAGAACAGCCTGCCATACATGCAGCATGCGACTGCGAATTTATGATGGCACGCACTGCAAGAGCGGAACACAGAGAACGCACAACTGCCTGACTCGCATCTGACTGTGGTCCAAAGTCCTTAAGATGCAATTTACTTCATATACTAATCATATCCAGTTTGTGAGATACTCTGATGCACTCCAGAACTCAAACTGAATGTTACACGTGGTATCGATTAATGCGGATCTGACTTTTACCCACATATGAACTGTGTACCAGGCACAGCTAACATCTCTCCCTAGACCCAAGCACCTGACTTAGGTACCTACATTAGAGGTGGTCAGCCTAGGTTCCCTCCATAGCTAATGACAGCTGGAGAGAGGGAGTCTCCCACCTTCAGCTATCTTCTCAAATTGCCCCCCATTCATGTCTCCATAGAGCACAGAGGGCATCTGCTAAGACAGGTAGCGAGAACACTTCCAATTAATACGTTATTAATTGTAGACACAGTTGCTAGAGCCTTTTCAAACCTAAATGACAGCTAATCTGTTCCAAATAAGAAAAAATGCCAATCAGAGCCCTGAATGACATTATGGATTATTTTCCTGGAATAAAAAGAACATCTCTTCTTTATTATTAGAAAAATTGATGCAGGAGAAACAAAAAAGGATCTGAAAGAGAAATCCTAGATGTTTTCGTTCCTCCTCTGGTTAAAACCTACTTAGTCAAAAAGCAAACACAGTTGAACCCAAAGCTCCTATACCATACTTCAAGCCTGTAAAAATAAAGATTCGCAAAGGCTGTAATCTTATGATGCAGAACCTAAGTGTGTCCGAGCATGAAAACCAGAGAGCTCTGCATTCCCTGTGAACACAGACATTACAGCTCTTCATCTGGATGTGCAAGCAGCGATCTAAGAGACTCCAAGAGAGCAAAGGCTTTCAGCACGGTGAATGAACTGTTTCAGATTGAGCACTTGGTTTGTTCCATCTGGTGCACTATAAATTAATCCTGGGAAGTTGTAGCTAAAGATTTTGCACGACGGACTTGTGTATAATACCACCTTGGTTTCCATTTGAGGGGGTGGGGGGCTTAAGGGGCAAAAGGACAACCACCTACAGTCCTTCAAATTGAAGAAAAGTATCTTGCTGCAGATTCCTGCAGATTTTAAGATCAGAAGGTGCATTTTAGCAAAGATTCATTGTAACTGAAAACAGGAAATATAATTGAAGATACAGCTGTTAAGTAAAAATCTTTGGCAGGAGAAATAGAGCTTTGGGGAAAAGGCAGCAAGGGCAATAGCTTACGAAATAATAGGTGAACGTGCTCAAAAGGGGGAATGAAGCATAGGAGTAGATATGAAGAAATAAGCGTGGGGAGAGAGAAACAGAAAGAGAAACACAAGGAGATAAAATGACAGTAAAAGAAAGAAGGCAGAACACATAAAAGAGAAAGATGTACATGAGGAAAAGAGACATCTGTCTCTGGAAGACCAGCAGTTCTTCATGAGAATGGGAGCCACATTGTTACACAACAGGACATAGCATTTTCTATATAACAAGGAGTTTATTAAAGCTTACTTGAAGCCTCAATAAAAAAATCTGTGGGAGGAAAAAAAAAAAAGAGTAACACATTTCTTTCAACTTTTAAATCGCTTTTTAGGTCATATTTCACCCCCCCCTCCCCCTACAAGTATTTTCCAGGATGGAATTTTCTTCTTCCCACTCCAGGATTTGGCGTGGGCAGAGCACCACAGATGCTGCTGAACTCAGAAACCAGAAACCTGATTCATTCTTTCCTTGAATCCTGTGCTATCATTTAGACTGGGTCTGAGCAAACGTCAAAGGCTGCAAGTCAGAAAGACAGTTTTACACAGCTTGTATGTTAAATTTGCCCCAGCACAATGGTGGTACAAAAAGAAGAGTAAAGGTAAATCCAGCTCTGAATCTCTGTATGTTTGTCCAATATTTGTTCAAGAATACTTATTTTTCCTTCTGTTCCAGCAAACTTAAGCTCTAAAATTCCCCTCAATTTTGACTGTATGCAGAGGGCAGGTTTTCACTGACACAAGACCACCAACTGTTTTTCCAAGTTTGCAGAACAAAAATCCTTAAAATGAAGACAAACTCCTACAATCAGTCAGCAAAGCCCTTCAGTCTGATAGTGTTCAACAAGTCCAGATTATTTTCTGCAAGTTTCTGTTCATTTCAGCCTCAGCAACTGTACAATCAATCACACTGCTGGGTATCAATTCGGTACTGAGAAAGGATTCTCAGAATAAGCTGTGAGCAGTCATATGATATAAAAGAAGCTGCCCCCGAGATAAGTTATACAGCGGTTGGATTTTAGAAAGCTGAGGCCACTTTCACTAAGAAAGATTCCTTGCTTACTTCATTTTAGATTTTAAAATAAACAAAAGCTCTAACATTTAAAAGGTTAGACATTTTTTACTCCCACTGTTCCTTAATAAAACACCATTTGTGTGGGAAAACAGCTTAGTGCATACTTTAAAAACAGGCAAACCATTAATTGATCCAACATGTTGGCAGTTTTAGAGAAATTTACTGGACAAGCACAAGCGACGCATCTGAAGTTTTGAAACAGCCCGAGCTTTACTTTAAGGGTGCGAAAGTATGCCAAGTTCCTACTATGTTATACTGCTTAGTAAATAATCTGTCATACTTAAAGTAGCAAGAACTATTATCTGAACAGCTACTAAACCACATGCAGGTTATAAAGCACAGTTCTAAGAAGCTCAAGAGGTTAGGAGTTCCTTGTCTTACAAAGCCAATGGAAAATGATAAAGAAAATCTTCCACCGATCCGATCAAAGAAAAAAGAACGTGCCCAAATAAACAGTTAATCTCTTCAGAAGGCGGCACGCAAGGGGTTCCTTCCAAAAGGAAAAGCACTGCTTTTGCATCAGCAGTATTGTAGCGTTAGTCAGGCAACAAATTGTTTTTCAGCACATCTGTGCTAGCTACTTTGCTAACAGACTTTCAAATGTCATTAGAATAAGAGCCTGTTTTGCAGCCTTTCTGTGTTTCAATTTACCCCCAACTCTGCTAAGATTCAACTGGCATGAAGCAGCTGGGCATGATTAGTTATTGGATGCAAACCAAACTGAAATTTCACAATAGGTGGCATTTCAGTCCTCACAGAACAGGCTGCTGGTATAAAAGAGCAGTGACCCCTGGCACTAAACACCGTCCCTAAATATAAATCTGGTGATCTGTTTTTAAATCTATGCTATTTCAGCTCCAATGCTGTTACAAAAACAGTGGGTTTGTTTGTGGGCAAAACCAGAGGTTCGTGTTGTTTCCGACAACTGGATTTCTGCTGCGTTAGTTGAGGAGCACACTTTGGGACCCAAGTACCGGTGTGCTGGCACTGCGAGCACCCCACCAGAGGGCTCACCCAGCGAGTGAAGCCCCCTGAATCCTGGACAAAACATCCCACGTTGTCACCAAATCAAATACTTGAATACTTTGCTTTCCTGCCTGATCCCATGGCTTTTATGCTGTCACAGGTGAGACAGTGGACACTGTGCCCTTACTTTATTGCACCTCCTGATACAAACACACCACAAACACCACCGCTCTCCTCTTGAGGAGGTCCCACTCCCACAGGGCACCTGCCGGAGGACCCAACAAAACACGGGAGCCCCGTGGCGGGCTCGGGGTCCCATCCATCCCTCCAGTCAACCCAAACTTTGCATCTCCCAAACTTTTCTCCCCTGGAGCCGTGCCGGCAGCACGCCCATCGCTCACCATGGGCACCCACTGCCCGGCAAGGCCTGCAGCCCAGCGTGCCACCATCCGGGAGGTGCGAGGCCACCTTCCCTGCGACCGGGGCGAAGCCTCACCTGCGTAGGGCATGGTGATGGTCTCGTTGGCGTTGCTGGAGCCCACGTTGTAGATGACGACGGCCGAGGCGTTCTGGGCGGCGGCGTGGCGGATCTTGTCCCTGTAGGTGCAGTTGCCCCGCGGGATGAGGGCCACCCAGCTCTTGCCCGGCGCCGGGGCGTTGAAGCGGGTGCCGGGGTCGCAGGCGTAGCGGTCTGCGGGCGATGCGGAGAGGGCCACCTGCCCGCGGGCGTCCTGCTTGGGCGACTGGTCGCCGTAGCGCCCGCACTCGCTCTTCTCGCTGCGGAGCTCGGCGCTGCCGCCCGCCGGGTCGGCGTAGGTGATGTTGACGAAGGCCGTGTACCACTCCTCCTTCTCGGCCACGGTGAAGTCCAGGCACAGCAGATGCACGAAACAAAAGGACAGCAGCCATGTTGAGAGAGCCAGGCTGCGGCACGCTTGGATCACAGACATTGCCATCTTCATCTGCCGGCCCCCCCCACCCGCCCGCCCCCCCCGGCAGCCGGCCGGCCCGCCCCCGCCGCCTGCTCCCGGTGTGTGTGCGGTGTCTGTGGTGTGTGTGTATGGTGTGAGTGTGTGTATGGTGTGTGTATGGTGTGTGTGTGCCCCGAGCGGGGCGGCGCTGCTCCCGCCGGGCGCCGTGCGGGGGAGGGCGGGGGGCCCCCTCCTTCCCTCCCTCCCTCCCTCCCCTCTCGCAGCCCGCTGCCTAATTCATAGCGGGGCCGTTTGATTTCCAAGGGCCGCCCCCGCTCTCCTTCCCCTCCGTCCCCTCCCCGCTGCGGGCAGGAGCGGGGCTGTGGCGGCGGTGGGGAGCGGAGGGAAGGAGGGAGGGGAGGAGGGGAGGAGGGCTTCCAGCCGGCGCCGGGCCCGGCCCCCCCGGGGAACGGGGCGCCGGGGGCCGGGGAGCGGCCCGGCAGCGGCACCTGGCGGGGGCCCCGCGCAGCGCGGCCGCTGGGGACGGGGCTGAGGGGGAGCGCGGGGCCCTGAGGCGGCGGCGGGCGGGGCGCCCCCAGCCCGGTTCCTCCTGAAGACAGATCCTAAAGACAGATCTAAAGACAGAAACGTCCTGAGGGCACTGCTGTTGCTCCTGCAAACACGAACCTTGTCATGTACAGCAGCAAAACCCACCAGGTTTTTCCCCCAGAGAGGGATAGTCACTGGTGTCTCTTCCAAAGTTACATAGATTTAAATGCACGCATACAGGTTATAAAATTCAGACAGACTAACTTACTGTGAACATCACGGACAAGCACGTTTACCAAAATCAGGTGAGCTACCAGCATGAGCACAACGTCTAATGCAAAAGCTTCCAAAAATGACAAAGCAGCAATCTGGAAACACTCAACAGACACGGGCAGAAGAGAATAAGCTTAATCCTAGCTCAGAGAAAGCCCAGATTTGTGGATTTTAACACTTAAAACACCCAAAAAAGACTTTTGGCCAAGACTTAAATGCCCTTCATATCGATATAAAACAAGGTCAGATAGCAACTGACTCTGTCCATCTTAGTGCAAGTGAGCAGCAAAAGTTCTGCTTTTCCGTAACTACCTTCAGTAACAGAAGGACATCTCACAAGATTAACACATATCACCTATTTTAGCTACCTTGTTTTTAAAATGTGGTGCTAGAAATGGCAAACTCTTTGGCTGAGATGAGATGCATAAGTATCTCGCTAGTGGCAATATTTTCCCGTTTCCAGTTCATGTTCATAGCTGCCGTTGATCTAAGCTGGCTTCGGTCGACAGACTTAACCACATTTTACACACACAGTGCTTTGAATAGGTTATTTCCCCAAAGTTTAAAAAAAAAAAAAAAAGTGATTTTCTGAGGAAGAGTTACAAATATGGGAATAAAATAGAGAAATGTATACGGAAGTATAATGGGTTACCAAAAAGCTGCAAATCTACCAAGAATCAAGAGGACAATTTTGCTTGAAAGCCCATTCCTGGAGAAGTGAAGTCAGCAATTAAGATGAAAAACTTACCATGTAAAACTAATGTTGAGAAAGCAAAGTAGAGGGCAATCAACATTAATTAAGAAGTGTTGAGATTTCATAAAGGCAGCAAAATCCAGCAGGGAAAAATCCATGTCTGGCAGGGCTAGGGGCAATAAAGCATTTGTGTATTTGGAAGAGTAAGAAGTGCTGTTAGAAGAGAAGGCAGAAGAGGTATAAATGGGTAATAAATATTTCAGTTTTATATCTGGAAAGAAAAGGAGAATGTATTTCTCAGATCATTGACTCATAAAATAGAGATTAAGAAGCAACTCCTAAGAACATACAAAAACCAGCCAACCCAGAAAAACGGTACACATGAATCCCAAAAGAGTGGGCAGGGGGTGGAGAAAATACCCAGCTCTCCGACACTACTTGAAGTAAATCTTGTCATAACAGGAAAATCTTGAAAGATTGACTGCTTAGTTTCCTGAAAAGATCCAGAAAACCAAATTATGGTGGCCACTTAGTTACAGGCTGGTCAGTCCAGTGTTAACAAATCCCAAGGAAAAGAAGATAAAAAAAATCAGTTGTGTAGATGCCAGACTGTGTGTATTTGTTTGTTTTAAGAAAACATGATTTATATTTTTGAGAGGAAATAGCTGTGTGGTTAGTAAAGTTACACAGCCATGGTCATAACAGATTTTTTAAAGGTGTGTCATGTAACAACACATGACATTCTTATTACATATGTAACACATGAAGAAGCAGGTAAGATGAGCTTAGTTGAAGTATAACTCAATACAAAAATATGAATGAAACCACCACCCTCTTGGGAGCAGAACTGGTGTGTGTGTGTTATCCTGCACACAGAGTGGGAAGGAATTGTGCTTTACTCCTAAGGAAAGGAAAGAAAGGGCCTGAAAAGGATGCAGCAATCCTCAGATGTTCCAGAGGAGTAACAAGTAGGAGTAGAGAAGCAATTTTCTCTCTGCATGATGCATCACTGAGACAGATACTAGAAGCTGCCCAGTCTTGGTATCTGCATTTTTCAAAGGATATTGAAATACCAGAGAAGGTTAAGAAAGGAAACCTAAAAATGATTTTAAATAATTCCTCTCCCAGGGAGAGATTTCAGGTGCCCAATCTATTCAGCTTTTCAAGAAAAAAGGCAATATGATCACATTATGGAAGTACCATCACAGGCATATAACAGCAGGTACTAACAGGCTCTTTAAGTTAGGGGGTAAAGGCATAACAAGAACCCCAATTTTAAACTAGACAATGTAACTTATAGCCAAGGTAGCTGATCAAGGTGGTTGTCCATTGGAGAAAACTCTGAAGTGAGACTGTCCTGGGAATTGAAAGACAAGTTCAAATCAAACGCAAAAGGTACCCCTGGAAGGAACACTTGATTGAAGTGCAAGTATGAAATTCTTCAGAGTGAATCTACAATCTAGTGGTTGCTTCTCACTTTAAAATGAATCAAAACAACAGGCTATTTAATTACTTTTGTTGCCAAAAGCCAAAGTACAATTAACTAGGTTAACCCACTGATTTCCAGTCACACAGACGGCTGCTGATGGTCCTTCCCAATTTTTTGTTTCTGTCCATAGGAACATCTGAGGTTCTCCCCTTGCCTTGCCCCTCAGAGAGCCTGTCTGGCCCAGCACAAGAACACCATACTCTGGATAAACATCCAAGCAGCCATAACATGTTTCCTCTTAGTCCCCCACGACTTTTGGCACCACCTTACCCTAGTCTATGCTCTTCTTCTTCAGAAAAACAAAACAAAACAAACCCAAACCCTGAGACTTTTGTTCCCCCCGGCCTCTGCAGACACATAAAAGGCACTCATCCAGCATGATCACACATCACCTAGCCTGGATAACAGTGAAAAGCACAATCTCTATGTTTATGCACTATTGAAAAACATTTTACAGGATCTGTAACACTTTTTTTTTTTTTTTTTTTTTTTTTAAACTCAGGATTTGTAGAGACTTCAAGGAATCACCTCTTGACTGAGATACTGACACTAAGCTCTCCTCTGCCTGAGCCTTCTCTCTGAATGGGCCCAACTAATTTGGAATTTAGCAATGTGTGATCAGCTGCTTTTCTGTGTGCTTTCCACGCTTTGGTTACAGTGAATTACATTTGCTGTGTTGTTAGATAACTTTCTATCTTGTTTGGTTCCTCTGATGTTCTTCCAGTTTCCTATGAATAATCTGGACAGTTCTTGCAATGTTATTTCTATTCTTTTTTCACATGTATATAAGGGTATCAATTGTATGCAGAAGGACAATCCTTTCTCTCAAAGGACTGTTTCCAGGAGAACTCCAGATTCATGACATACAGAACACAGAAGATGGCTTTAGGTAACAGCTGATTATGAGTAAATGACAAACTGAAATTCACTACATGACTACCTCTATTATGTACCAAAATAAATACATTGTTAATTTACCCTTTCACAAGGTAAAATTCATTAGTTTGTATCTCTTTTTGGTTCAGAAGAGAACTTGTTACATTTACATTATGCTAGACTGTGTCTGTTACACACAAAAATTTCAAGCTGTCTGAAAGGGAATGGCTAGAAATTGCTTCTGTTAAAGGAGAGGAATCTCCTCCAGGCTATTAGGTTGTCACCCCTCTGTTAGGGGATCCCATGGAGTTTTGTGGACCTTTATCTCAGCCTGTTTGGACAATCATTGTCAAGAGTTAAAATGGTGAAGGTTTAAAGTAAGGTTAGGCTGTCTAAATTCTGATAAAGAAGGGATTTACCTGGAATTTCAGCATCTTAATGCAGAAGAATGACTGGGCTATACTTGAGGTAGCATTGCCAGCTATTTTTAAGGGTTTGCTGGCACCTAAATTAGGTGCTGTGGCTCCCTTTATCATTAGTGGCAAGCACCTTCAGCAAGCAATTCAGAGCATGCAAACATGATACCTTATTGAATACAGGACCTAGATGCACCCAAATGTTGGCGATTCTGTTTTGACCTGGACGCAGGCAAAAGCAAACCCACAGAAAACAGACACTGCAGGGTAGGGGGGAAGTCCCATCAGGGGGCAGCTCTGTTCCCCCTGCATTCAACACAGTGAGCCCTCACAGGGGTAGGACCCCAACAGGTGTGGGCTCAGAGAGACTTGGGGTTAGAGCTAACTCCAAGGCAGCCTGAAGGCATTTTGATGCTGATGGACAGCTGGAAGAGTTGACTGAAACATGATCTCTACAGGTGCTCAGGAAAATGAGGCCTTTCTCCTTCCCTAGCTATGAAACTGAAATTGATTCTTGCTTACAGCTGGAGAAGCACAGAAGAGATGTTAACACTGGGAAGCCACACAAAGGGTAAAGTGATACCTTTGCCTCACCCGTTTGCTGCTAATACTATACTTTGCATTACAGAAAACAACACATTTGTTCATTAAGAGAGTTAATTGAGCAATATATCTTTTCATGACCTAATTGACACTGTTAATACTCCATCCATCTTCCTATTCATATGCTAATAGCTATATTGCTTGTCACAGAATCCTGCCTTAGATTTGAATGCTCCTTCATTATTCTGCAAAATCGTTTGAATTACTATACTAGCTACTGGAGTTCTGGTTTCATTTACTTAGGTCAATTTAATATTTTTCATAACATTCTGATGCTCTAAAGAAATATTCAAAGTAAAGCTCCAGAGGGGGGGAAAAAAAAAGTGTTCCAGACAGATACACTCACTGCTGCTATAGGAAAGGTTTAGTAGAATTTATAGGGAAAGTGACATTTTCATTTAAAAATTATGAAAAGTGTTGAAGGGAGCTTTATCTTGTTTGATCCTTATTAAGTTTTCATAGTGAGATGGTGCTCCTTGTGTCCCAGAGGCAAAATTGCCATGTCTTATCATATTT